AATCTGGCACTCTGCTTTAGGATTTTTAAAAAAGAATAAATTGCATAAATACACACAAAAGAAGAAAATGTACTAGAAAATATACTAGAAACATTACAAATGAAATGCGCATCTGTTGCAACATTTTTAATATAAATAATAAGTGTTCCATTTATTTAAAGCATAGTCACAAAGTATCACTGTGTCTCGCTTTCCCCAATAATCTCTTTGTCTTTATTCATTTTTTCTATAATTTTGAACTGGCTAAATATTAAGAAACAATGTGCATATTTAATGGCCTTCAAAGAGTTTATCTTCTCCTTATTGTAGTCTGCATGCTATTTAGCAGTAACAAAGCATGACAATTATTGTTCACAATGATAAAGTAATTTTTTGTCTGCAGCACAGTGCTAAGCAATATGGTTCAACATAACATGCATCCGACAGAAAAAAAAATTCATTTAAGTGAAAATTATTAATATTTGAGTCACCTATTTATCGCATTCCTAGTGTGTTTACATGGCATATTTTCAAAGCACTAGTTTACAATTTACTAGTTGACATGAAAACAATAAATACATATTTGGAAAGTGACAAATTGCAACAAATGTGTAGCGTGATTGTTGACATAACTGATTTACCATTTGAGCAGCAAAGTCAACTCACAAAATAGTTCTATATACCATCTCTGCATATTAATTAGGTAATTTACATATCATTAACCATTTGAGTACCAAAATCAACTTTTGTCACTATTCACAAAATAGTTCTATATATCATATGTGCATATTAATTAGGTAATTTGCATACCATTAACCATTTGAGCACCAGTCAACTTTTGTCACAATTCACCAAATAGTTCTATATACCATCTACGCATATTAATTAGGTAATTTACAAATCATTAACCTTTTGAGCATTAAAGTCAACTTTTGTCACTATTCACAAAATAGTTCTATATACAGTCTACGCATATTAATTAGGTAATTTACATACCATTAACCCTTTGAGCATCAAAGTCAACTTTTGTCACTATTCACAAAATAGTTCTATATACCTTCTTGTGCATATTAATTGGGTAATTTGCATATCATTAACCCTTTCAGCACCAAAGACAACTTTTGTCACTATTCAAAAATAGTTCTAAATACCTTATTGTGCATATTAATTAGGTAATTTGCATATCATTAATCCCTTTGAGAGCCAATTTCAACTTTTGTCACTATTCACAAAATAGTTCTAAATACCATATGTGCATATTGGTTAGGTAATTTGCATATCATTAACCATTTGAGCAACAAAGTCAACTTTTCTCACCTTTCACAAAATAATTCTATATACCGACTTGTGCATATTAATTAGATAATTTGCATATCAATGACCAATTGAGCAACAAAGTCAACTTTTGTCACTGTTCATATAATAGTTTTATATACCATATGTGCATATTGGTTAGGTAATTTGCATATCATTAACCATTTGAGCAACAAAGTCAACTTTTCTCACCTTTCACAAAATAATTCTATATACCGACTTGTGCATATTAATTAGATAATTTGCATATCAATGACCAATTGAGCAACAAAGTCAACTTTTGTAACTATTCATATAATAGTTTTATATATACCATTTATGCATATAAATTGGGTAATTTGCATATCAGTGACCATTTGAGCATCAAAGTCAACTTTTCTCACCATTCACAAAATAAAACCTACCTAATTTTTTTAATATTTTTACCAATATTTTTATCAAGACTTGTAATCAATTGGAAATCATGTCAAAAATTATAAAAAAAAATTACAGAGAACTACCATACCAATCATGATTATTATGAAATGAAATACTTTTTACATGCACATTTTAATTAATATTTACCCACATTTACACCTTTGGCCATTAATTGGGGATTCCCTCAACTCATTAAGAGAAGTGGGCTTATACCCAGAGAGGGGCTTATGACTAGAGAAGTACGTTAAAAACAGGTAAAATCTGGGCACTCAAAAAGTGTTGGTTCTGACGTGTTAATTGGAAGGTTACAGCTTACATACCTCTGCAAATATTGTAAATAAGTCATTGGCATCCATTTTAGATTCTGGAAGCTCACTGCAGTACTCATTAAACATTTCACTAAAAATTAATAATATTTACATTATCACATTAAAAAAAATACACAGACATAATTCCAAACAGGATGAACAAAAATTATAAGTTGTATTATTTAAATTCCATCATGTCCTCTTGTATTGGAAACTTTGTTG